AAAAAAAAAAAAAAAACTTGTTATAAACATTAGTTGTACTTCCTTTTAGTTTTTGTGGAACCTAGATCTGGGCCATCACATTTAATCCTTGTAAAATGTCATGCTGTTTCAACACTTTCCGGAGTTTGAATATATCCTTTTTTTTCTTTATTTTGAAACAGAGTATCTGGCTCTGTTTCAAACAGAGTCTTACTCTGACACCTCGGCTAGAGTGCAGTGGTGTCATAGCTCACAGCAACTTAAAACTCCTGGCCCAATCGACCCTCTTACCTCAGCCTCCCAAGTAGCTGGGACTATAGGCATGCACCACTAACCTCAGCTATCTGAATATATCTTTAAGAATCTGGATTTTCCAGTGCTCTTCCAGCGTGAGCAAGAGGGAGACCCTGTCTCTGATAGCTGGGTGTACACTTCTAATCCCAGCTACTCGGGAGGCTGAAGCAAGAGGATCACTTGAGCCCAAGAGTTTGAGATTGCTATGAGCTATGACAACATGGCACCCTACTGACTAAAATAAAGTGAGACTCTGTCTCAAAAAACAAGAATCTGTATTCTGCGGTTGCTTATATTGATTTCATCTGCCATTGACTTGTTGAGCGTCTTGTATGTGCACATTACCATGGTTTTCTAAAAATGGCACCTATCCTGAACACATCTGAGAACTGGAGAGAGTATCCAGCTATTCCTCCTCCTCCACCACAGCAAAGTTCTGGGCAATCAAAATAAACGAAAGGTAAAAAGAGCTGGGAGAGGGCCGTGCCTGAGGCTCAAAGGAGTAGGGCTCCAGCCCCATATACCAGAGGTGGTGGGTTCAAACCCAGCCCTGGCTAAAAAAAAAAAAAAAGGCTGGGAGAAAGGTCGGGGATTGGGAGGTGGTGAAGAGAAAATGGGAGCATAGGAAGTCAAGGGGGCTGAACTCAAAGGGGGAAGTAATGCTTTGTGTCATCTTGTGGACTCTGTGTGTGTGTGTGCTTGTATCTCACAGCAATGTGTAGCTAATAGACTGGCTATATTTAAACTTTCCAGATTTACTATAAAGCTAATGAAGCTTAAATTTTCTTTCCATGGCCCTGTACTGGGCCTTAGACTTTTTTATTTATAATTTTATATTTTTTCTTAACTTTAGGCTCTATCCCTTAGTGAGGTTATGTTTTGTGGGGGGGAGGCTAGGTTTGGGGTTATGTTTGGGGGGTGAGGCTATGTTTTGGGGGTAGGCTATCCCTTAGTGAGGTTATGTTTTGAGGTTATGTTTTGTGGGGGTGGCTAGGTTTGGGGTTATGTTTTGGGGGTGAGGCTATGTTTTGGGGGAAGGCTATCCCTTAGTGAGTTTATGTTCTGGGGTTATGTTTTGGGGGTAGGCTATCCCTTAGTGAGGTTATGTTTTGAGGTTATGTTTTGTGGGGGGAGGCTAGGTAAATATCTGGCTAAGTGAGGTTACATCTTATTATAAACCTTTAGATGACATACAGGGGAAGAGTGAAGGAGGGGTGAGAGTGAAAGCAATATTAGTTCAAACTGGCTGGGAAAAATCCCACCTTGGTGAAAGCATTTCAAGTCAAGTAGAGTTGGGAAGGAACCACTCTTGAATGTGTCCAGTTTCCTGGATAGGATAATTCACAAATACCTAACAGACTGGACCCTGAATGACTATGTTCAATTCAAGAGCTGTTCATACTAACTTTACAACTAGTTCCTTTTTTTTTTTTTTTTTTTTTGAGACAGAGCCTCAAGCTGTCCGCCTGGGTAGAGAGCCATGGCATTACAGCTCATAGCAACCTCCAACTCCTGGGCTCAAGCGAGTCTCCTGCCTCTGCCTCCCAAGTAGCTGGGACCACAGGAGCCCGCCACAACGCCCGGCTATTTTTTTTTGGTTGCAGCCGTCATTGTTGTTTGGTGGGTCCGGGCTGGGGATTCAAACCCGCCACCTTAGGTGTACGTGGCTGGCGCCTTAGCCGGTTGAGCTATAGGCGCCGAGCCTTACAACTAGTTCCTAATGGATGAGCAGCATCATTCTGCTTGGAGTTTATGGAATCTCAATCATTTGCAATATTAGGGCTGAAGACAATATTGACATCACTCAGGTGAAGTTTCATGTTTTATTACTGAAGTGCAGATCTTTTAATGACTTGTGTGATGTCGCAGCTACAACACAGATCTCCTGTCCTTCAGCTCCACTCCCTCTAATTAGAAACCATTCCCCTTTGGTAGGCTAGAATTAGAGCAGAGAGCTGAGTACAGTTGTACTGCTGCCAATCTCACTAGCAACTGCTCTAGTTCTGGGCTAAACACATCTTCCAATTATGCTTTTGTCACCAGAGTAGAAATGAACGATGTGCAAGATTGCTTTGGAACCTAGGTGTTACAGGAATAGCAGGAGCTGATTCAGTGGAAACAGGAGAGCTTCTGTGTGTGGTGACTGAGCTGGGAGAAGACCCAGCAAGCCTTGACTTGGGAGGGGTGGAAATCTTGGTCTCAGAGGTTCTACAGCAGGAATCAATAGGCGTGAATCTATTTTGTTGGCATTGGTGTCACGCAAATCTTAATTCTAGCTTCCAGAAAAGCAGGAATAGTAATTGACCCTAAAAATCAGAGCAGCTATTGTGATGCGAATTAAGTTGATAATATTAACACAGATTCTCACATATGGCTAGACAAACATAGGTACTAATGAGAAAGCAACTGGTTCCATAGCCTTCAGTCTTCCCACAACGCTAAGCCACTATTGAAAGGGACATCAGGTGACTCTTGATACCTCTTAGGTGGCTTGATACCTCTCACCTTTGGGCTAAACTTGATGCCCAACTGGTTAGTTGTCTCCAATGTCCTTCTTGCTATTTTTTTTTTGAAACTATGAAATTTTTGGTTTATAAATACACAGTTATTTCTACTTTAGTATATATGAGATAATATACTGTGATTAAGGATATTTTATTAGACTAGGCAGAGAGGCTCACGCTTATAATCCTAGCACTCTGGGAGGTCAAGGCAGGTAGATCTCTGGAGCTTAGGAGTTCCAAACCAGCCTGAGCAAGAGTGAGACCCCCCCCATCTCTACTAAAAAAAAATAGAAAAATTAGCCAGATGTGGTGGGAGACTGTAGTACCAGCTACTCCGGAAGCTGAGGCAAGAGGACTGCCTGAGCCCACAAGTTTGAGGTTGCTGTGAGCTATGATGCTACAGTACTAGCCTGGGGTAACAGAGTGAGATTCTAGCTCAAAAGAAAAAGAAAAAAAATAGGGTGGTGCCTGTGGCTCAGAGGAGTAGGTGCTGGCC